GTGTGTGTGTGTGTGTGTGTGTGTGTGTGTGTGCGTGTGTGTGTGTGTGTGTGTGTGTGTTCGTGTATCTGATCAGAAACCACAAGGTAAATGATCAAATACCGGAATATTGCCGGACAATTATACAGGTTTTGCCTACAACACTTTTTCTTTCCCAAGGTGTGACATGTAAGAACTCCACCTTCGTGATTACCTGTTTAGTGTCTAGTAGGGTGTTAACCCCCTAGCGACACATCTTAGGTCTCATCAAGGGTCACCAGACAATTTTGAAACTTCGAAAGTGCCAAACGACAATCTCAAAGGTGACACATTATCCTCTTCTACGCGAATCCTATCTTTGATTCACCCTTTCAGCTTGATACAGAACATCATTTATCTCTCCATCCATCGCCTCTTGCTCTGTGTCCATCTTAATCTACCATTTTCAACCCTTCCCTCCTGTTGACTTTTACCAAAACCACAGCACTCACCTGCCAGAAGCCATCAACGCGATCCGCACGCGCGCACGATACATCGACATGCCAGTCTCCATCTTTTCTCCTCTCATCCCGCCCTTAAACTTTCATTTTACGGGCTTTCTATGTCAGGAATTTGCAGGGAATGGATTCTGACAGGCCCAGAAGCTGCTGCCATGTCCAACGCGGCGTGTCGTTCCCTGCGCTTTGTCTCGAGTTTGGGGGTTTCCAACCCCCGCCGCTCTATCATCTCCAGATGCGGTGGGAAGATACGCTCTCAGAGACATGGCAAACTGGGTGTCAGGACCCAGCGAGATGACCCCGATGTCCGAGCAATTGCTACGTCTGTCTTGGTGGAAGAAGACTGTAAGGCAGTTGTTCTTGCGTGTATTGTGCTTTCTGCTGTCTACGTCCGTTTCACAATTATCTCTTTGGTCCAACTCCTTGAAACTTAACAAGACAGGGAGTGGTGGCGGGGGACTTTTTTCTCACGCTGAATGAATACAGTTGTGAATTTCCTTTCGTTAGGGGGGATTTTCTCGTAAGCTGGGGATGGGGGTTGTGGTGGTGGGGGACGTGTTTCTGTAAGAATATCTTATGTGTTGGCAGAGTCGTTCTTGATTGTTAAACTTGAATCTGCTACTTTTTTTTGTTGTACTCACAGTTGCTAACGTACTTATCATCATCAT